GAGGGGGGAAAATAAAAAAAGAAAGATTCTCTGGTAGTCAAGATCCTCATATGGATATAGTGGCTTGCTGTCCGGGATGAATGTCCTCCCTCATAAAAAGTCGGTCCCTTGGGGCTCTCTCTTTTCTACTCTCTCTCTCTCTCTCTTCTCGCTCTCTCTCTCTCTCTCTCCCTCCTCTCTCTCCTCTTCTCCTCTTCTCTCTCTCTCTCAAATTAAAGCTGCTTTATTGGCATGAAAACATTGCGTCAATATTGCCAAAGCAACAATGTATACAATATACATTGTAATAAAAATAATAAAAGAATAAAAAATAATAATATGAAATGGTAGTAAAATAATAATAATAATAAAAATAATAATAATAATAATAATAAAAACAACACAATAACTGATACAGTCCAATAGAAAATAATAAATAGAAAAGGCTAAACTGGAAAAGAAACTATAACTAACTTATAACTAACAAACCCTGCCCTCCTCACCATTACACATTACTCAACTCCCATCATCATTACTACCACTACTACCACCCCCAATCATTAAACTGCTACATTACCATCACCCTACTACCCTTTACAACTACCATTTAGAATAATGACCCACAACAACAACAATAATAATAATATAAAAATAATAACAATAATAATAATAATAATAAAACTAATAATAATAATAAGTAAAAATTACTGTTTACTATGCAGATGTAATTATTCAGTGTCCCTCAGGCTTGGCAGGGAAAACGTTTTTGGCTGCAAGAGGGTCGTTGCTCCTTCCCCCATGACTATTTTTAGTTTTTCCTCGGGGTTTAATAAGTTAAAATTTGGAATAAATGTAGTAATTTCTGTGAATAAGAATCTCTTGGTGAGGAATATTTATCACAGTAAAGGAGAAAGTGCATCTCTGTTTCTACCCCCCCTGGTGTGCAGTATTGATTTTGTACGTTTTTCCTACTGACAAAGACATGATAGTCTTAATTTTAATGGTAGGTTTATTTGAACAGTGGGGTGGAAAGAAAACAACAAAAAATCCAGAAAAACGCATTTGTCAAAAATGTTATAAATTGATTTGCATTTTAATGAGGGAAATAAGTATTTGACCCCTCTGCAAAACATGACTTGACTTGGTGGCAAAACCCCTTGTTGGCAATACAGTGTTAGGCTACTGCTGCTAGGTAGCTTCTCTCTCTGCTCTCCCCTCCCCTCTGTCTGTCCTTGATTGCAGGAGTGAAGTCTTTGGTGTGGGGGGAGTCCGGGTTTCCCCGCTGCAGCTCATTCACCATAATCCCCCCTCACCCTTTAAACCCCGGGTTCAATTACCACCATAAATCAATCATAGTAAAGACACCTTTTTAGTCCCCGGGCCGACTAAACCCTTTTTTTTTTTTCGCTCTTTGGGTTTTTGGGCCTGTTCTTTTACTTTTCCCCCTTGCCACAGATTATTGGAACCTGACTCCTGCCCCCCTTTCCCCTCCTGCCCCCCAATCCTGCTTTCCGCTCCCGGGAAACCCCCTTTTGGGGACTCCCACGGACACAAAGGACATTACAAACCCACACCGCCCTGACCTGGATCTGTTACCCTCCCCTGAAACCGGGACTTCCCTTTTCCCCTATTATTTGGAAACCTGGACTAATTGAACATTGTAAATAAACCTGTTAAACCTTCTCTGGCTTGGTGTAGTTGTCTGCATTTGGGTTCAAAATCCAGTTTAAATCATGACAGTATGATCTGACCAACATGAACCCAGTAGACAGTAGCTCGGATACCACCCCAGAGTGCACTCAAATTCGGACTGCCATAGCCAATCAGGGCATTTACTTGGCTAACATGATACCCTGTTAAGACTATTGCTGAGAACAGTCAGGTGCTGCTTAATCAGGTTCAATTACTCACCAATCAAGTGTCTGCCCTTTCTACCCAAGTTAATAATGCACCCCTCGGGCATGGCATACAAACTGCTCCTTCCTTCTCTGCTCCACCTGTTTTTTCCTACCCCTTCAGCCCAGATCAGAGAGCCTTTTGTTCCTGCTCCAGAGCGCTATGACGGGAACATGGGAACCTGTGGCGAGTTTTTTGACTCAATGCTCGTTAGTGTTTGAACAACAGCCCCTCACCTACGCCTCAGAAAGAGCCCGTATTGCCTACCTTATCAACTCTACTAGCGGTTCCTCTTGTGCCTGGGGATCCGCGGTCTGGGAGAGTCAGTCGGACATTTTGCAACGCTTACGTTGCCTTCACCACTGAGATGAGGAAGGTTTTTGACCACCCCGTACGGGGCAAGAGGCGGCTGCGAAACGGTTTGTTTTCTCTTCGGCAGGGGGCTCGCAGTGTGGCGGAGATGGCAGTGGAGTTTCGGACTTTAGCGGCAGTGAGTGGTTGGAATGACGAGGCATTACAAGGAGTGTTCATTAATGCTTTGTCTGAGACTTTAAAAGATGAATTGGTGTCATATGATGAATCGCCTACGCTGGATAATCTTATTTCACTCACCATCAGGTTGGATAATCGGATTCGGGAAGCGCCGCCGGGAGAGGAAGGTGTTTAGTTCCAAGCAACCTGTCTGTCGTCAACAAACTCCTCCCCGCATCTTCCCTACGGAGAAAGCTGTGTCTCCCGAGTCGATACGAGGAGCACTGAACCCGAAGCCATGGAGTGTGGGTCGTGCACGGTTGTCCTCAGAGGAGCGTGCACGTCGTATTCAGGCTCGGGTCTGCCTGTATTGTGGAGAAGCTGGTCATTTCGTTCCTTCCTGCCCAGTTTGTCCGGGAAAAGGGCCGGCTCATCATTATTGGGAGAAGTTTTGGTGAGCCGAGCAGCGGATTCTTCCTCTTCTTCCCCGCATTCTGCTCCAGGCATCCCTCCAGTGGCAGTCCCAGAATTTCTCTGTTAGTGCGCTGGTTGACTCTGGTGCCGACGAAACCTTTTTGGATAGAGAGTGGGCTCAACGAATGGATTTGGAGACTGTTCCTATGGACTGTCCCGCTGCAGGCTAAGGGTCTAAATGGACAATTGTTGACCCGTAGTTACTCATCGAACTGTTCCTGTTTGTCTCAGAGTGTCGGGAAATCATCAGAGAGCATTCAATTTCACATAATTGACTGCCCACAGACCCCCCCTGGTCCTTGGTATCCCCCTGGCTCATAAGACACAATCCACACATTGATTGGGTGACAGGTAGAATTGTTTCATGGAGCACATTTTGTCATGTGAATTGTTTGTGTTCTGCTCAGACCCCTGCCAGCACTGTGCCTCAACCTCCACTGGAGTCCATGGATCTTTCTGCTGTCCCTGACGTGTATCATGACCTGGCATCCGTTTCTGCAAACACAGAGCTACTTCTCTTCCTCCCTCACCCGCCTTAACGACTGCGCCATTGACCTCCAGCCAGTGCGCCCCCGCTCCCCAGCAGTCGCCTGTACAATCTCTCCCGCCCGGAGACGGAGGCTATGGAGAACTACATTCGGGACTCCTTGGCGGCAGGTATTATTCGTCCTTCCTCGTCACCTGTAGGAGCGGGATTCTTTTTTGTTGCTAAGAAGGATAAGACACTCAGACCCTGTATTGATTTCTGTGGACTTAACAACATCACCATTAAGAACAAATATTCTCTGCCATTAATTAATTCGTGCTTTTTCCCCTCCTTCATGGTGCAACTATCTTTACCAAACTGGATCTACGAAATGCGTATCACCTGGTGCGCATTCGTAAAGGTGATGAATGGAAGACTGCCTTCAACAACCCCTTGGGACCATTTTGAGTATCTAGTTATGGCCTTTTGGGTTGTCCAATGCCCCTGCTGTTTTTTCAGGCACTAGTCAATGATGTCCTTCGGGACATGTTGAAATCGGTTGGTTTTTGTCTATCTGGATGATATCTTGATTTTCTCAGAGTCCTTCCAGGAACATGAACTGCATGTGCGCCAGGTGTTGCAAAGGTTTGTTGGAGAACAACTTGTTTGTGAAGATGGGAGAAATGTGAATTTCATGTGTCTGAGACCTCTTTTTTTTGGGTTACATCATAGCTCAGGGG